TGATCCACTAGCGATGTTATTCTATGGGGTTTCATTGATGCCATTGATTGAATCACTCAAAGACCGAGATAAGTATTTACAAACATGGTATGTAGATGATTCGGGAGCTCTCGGCGCACTAGAAAACCTGTTGAATGGTTGTCATCTTTGACCGAAAACGGCCCGAAGTATGGCTATTACCCCGAGCCAAGCAAAATTTATTTGGTTGTTCACCCGAGCTATGTTGAAAAAGCTCATCAATTGTTTGACAGGTTCGGCATCAAAATAGTTGAAGGTAGAAGATATTTGGGCAGATTTATTGGCTCTGATGAAGGCAAAATTCATTTCACTTCAAAAAAGGTCCAAGAAAGGCTGGATTGTCTTGGCGAGTTGTCCAAAGTGGCAGAAAAAGAACCTCAAGCTGCTTTAGTGGGATTAACAAGATCACTGCAATGCGAATGGAATTTTGTCCAGAGAGTAGTCAAAGATACGTCGCAGTTGTTTGCACCTCTCGAGAAGATGTTGGAGGAAAACTTTTTGCAAAGCTTACTAGGAACTTCTAGTGTCACACACTCAGATCGTGTTTTGTATTCACTTCCTGTCAAAAGAGGGGGACTAGGTGTGCGAAATCCAATAGAAGGTGCCGAACTATCATTTTCCACTTCACGTGAAGCAACCGACTGTCTCGTGAGTTCGATCCTTCTCCAAGATGATTTCGACCAAACTTTACACAAAACAAAGATGAGAGAAGCAAGAAAAAACCACGAGGAGAAACAAAATGCTGTGGACAAAGATAAACTCGATGAATTGCTTGCAGTTTTACCAGCAGATCAGAAACGAGCGATCCGGAGAATAATCGACAACAACTGTTCCTTGTGGCTAACTTCGCTCCCCTTGTTGAAAGATAATTTTGATTTGTCAGTCACAGAGTTCAGAGACGCTCTATGTGTCAGGTACAGAAAACCACTCAAACGTTCTTTCTCGAGATGCAATGGATGTCAACAAGATTTTGACTTACAGCATGCACTTTCTTGCAAGAAGGGCGGACTGGTAACACTACGACACAACGAAATAAGAGACGCAGTGGACGATCTTGGCTCAATTTTGTGGAAAGATGTGAAAAGAGAACCTGTCGTAAAAGAACCAGATGTAGAAAATGGAACCCCGGCACTAATTGCAGATCTTTCAGCTCGTGGGGTTTGGGATAGACAGTCGGCTGCGTCGTTCGACATCCGTGTTACAGACACTGACGCTCCATCTTACCAAAACTGCAATCCCATGAATGTACTGAAAACTGCAGAGATTGAGAAGAAAAATAAGTATGGACCAGCTTGTGAAGAAAAGCACATGTTTTTCACTCCACTTGTCACTTCAATAGATGGTGTTTTGGCCCCGGAGTTCACGTTTTTCCTCAAACGATTAGCAGATGGTCTGGCATCAAAATGGGAGCGCCCATATAGTCATGTCATGTGCTGGGTGATATGTAGATTTTCATTCGCTATACTAAGAGCAACCAACATTTGCATCAGAGGCACAAGATCCAAATGGCGATCCCTCAGCGTTGAGCACGGTTACACAATTGGTATTGCATTCTAAAAATTCACACGCTGTTAACTGGGGCTTTCATCGCGCATAACTGACTCCTATGATATTAGAATTTCGACACCATTTGCATATTATTTCGAAGAATATGAGATGATTGAAGATAAAAACACAGGATGACAACTGTGAACAAGCAACGAAAAACTTTTCCTTGCACCATTCGAAACCAATTTATTTTGATTTTAAGTTAAGTTTACGCTGTTGCGAATTAAAAAACAAATTCTGGTAAGATCAGGTACCTTTGATATTCTGTTGGTGACACGATTTTTGAACCGAATTTTGATGTTGTGTTCGCTTTGATCTTGGCATAGTTTTGACAAGAGTAGTAAGTCATTCAATTGCCAGTAGAGTGGGAGCGGTAGATCATTCAGCAGGCGCAGCTGGTCTGTGTAGTATCCCTGGAAATGGAGAATCCCTAAGATCCATCTGATAGTCCTCTTTCGCAACAAATCGAGTTTTTTCAAGCCTTGTCTTGAGGGGACTGAGCAGTGTGTTCTGTAGAGTAGTATTGGCATTAGAAAATAATCGTAGGCAGTAGAAAAATCTGTTCGCTTTTTTCGGGCGTTCATATATGTGAGTCCTGCTATTCAAGTTTTGGCTGAAAAAACTCATCGGTCTTTTATACTCGATTTTGCTCAAACGTGATTCCATTTAGAATCAGATTGTTCAAGTTTCCTCTAGTTTTAGTTTGTGCGCATTTGTCTATTGCTAATTGCATATCGTTTTCATGAATCCAATTTTGAAATTCCGTTATTTCGCGCTGAACTTCATCATTTGTTTTGTTGATGGCCTGGGTTTTCAGGTTGTCTGCGACGATGAAAGGGTCCCTGAATCTGAGTACATCGAGCAGATCAATTATGAAGATGCAGAACAATAGGGGCCACAAAGGTAACACCTAGGAGACTCCACAAGTTTTTTCTCGTTCGACAGACGCAGTAAATCCGATACGAACAAACTGTTTGCGTTTGTGCAAATAATCGTACGGAATTTCCAGAAAACAATCTTTTACACCATTACAGTTTAATTTTCCTGGAAAGAGCTTGTGTGGTACTCTGTCAAAACCTTTCGAGAAAGCAGAATAGAAAGCAACTATTTTCGATATGGGATCAAGTGCAGAGTAAATATTGTTCAGAAGTGGTAGCATAATGCTCATAACGGATCTTTTTTTCGCAAAAACCCATGTTGATTTTTCGTTAGATACATCCTGAAGTGTTCGAACAAAGGATTATAAACACATTTCTCAAAAATTTTACAATCAAAGCAGTGTAGTGAAATCGCGCGATAGTTCTCCACAGTTCTGGGATCACCCTTCTTGAATACAGGTACTACTGCTGTAGTTTTCCAAGATGCTGGAAGCTTGGGCAGGGGCTTCACATTTTCAGAGAGCTTGTTCCGAATTTTGCACATTTGACTACTGAATTGATAGAAGAACATAGGCGGCAAGCCATTTGCTCCCAGCGTTTTGATCGTATCGATAATATCAAGGAGATTTTTGATTACATTAATAGAGATAGAGAAATTACTTAGAGTCGGCGATTTAACGTCAATTGTGTTCGCCAAATCATTTATGCGGAAGCTTTTTCTCTGGGTGAGAAAACAGACTTACAGAGTTCATTGAATGAACTTGCCTTTTCTAGGGAAGGTGACGAAGAGTTGCTGGAATTTTAGCGGATCGGTTTATATGTTTTAAATGCTGATTAATGCTGTTCGTGTTTCTTGATCCAAAGACTGAATTTTGATAACATATCCTGTCTTGCTCTTGTAGCTTGTGAGTCGTCTTTCAAGTAGTCTTCGTTGAGTCTCTAACATTTTATTTTTGTTTGAAGTGATGGATTTAATCCATGGAAGAAAAGATTGCCTGAATTTTGTTCTCTTGGGTACATAAGCATTTATTAAATAGTAGAGATACTCCTAAACCTCATTGTACACGTTGTCTATGTTTGTGTAGCAGTTGGGTTCGAAAATAATTTCATCCATACTTTCTAAGACAGCGTTTTAATTTCTAGAAGTATGGTTGTAGTGTTTTTCTTTCTTTGGAGAGACTTCAAGGTATTTCAATTCAAGGGTAGATATTACGGAGTAGTGGTCTGAGCAGTCATATATCTTGTCAGATTCATCATCGCGAGTAGAGAAGACAGTGCAATTTTGGTAGAGTAGAGCATCTAAAGTGCTCATGCCACGCGTTGGAAACTCTACGCTTTACTGAAACAGTCAATCTTCAAAAAGATCTAATAGTTTTTGTTTGTTAGTGTCCGGACTCCAGAAGCTGTCCCATTTTGCGGGGGAAAGTTGATGTCACCACATATTATGGCTTTACTGCCTTTTGGGATTTTTTTTTCAAATTTCTCGGTTTTGTATCGATAGCGGCTGTCAGATGGTGGAATGTAGAAAGAAAATAAGTATTTCTTCTTGGTTCTTCTTGCAAACCTTCTTGCAAACCAACAATAACAACACCAAGGGAATTGTGAGATGTTTCTTGTTTTCTGTCAGATCGTTAAATAAGGTAGTCTTGTAAAAAAAATTCTGATTTAAACTTTTGTCGTTTAGCCATGTATCACAGAAACTTATTACATTGTAGGAATTAGTTTGTATAGCATTAGCGAGTTTAAAGCGTCTTTGACTCTCTATAAGACTTTGTGCATTTAGCTGTAGTATCTGTAGGCTAGTAGTATAGTCAAGCATTTGGGACGCGCTCGTCAGATTTTGTTACCTTGAGCTCATCGTTGTATATTTCAAAATTCCGTTTTAATCAATTTCTCATATGGAACCCCTTCTATAAGTTCTTTTCGAGATCCAAATGAGTCCTTTTTGAGTTCTTTCATCTATGAGTTCCAAATGATTGAAGAGATTTCTGTTTAAATGAAAGAACATGAGTCAGTGCATTGGCATAAACACATTGGTTGTTTCTTAAAAAAGACTAACAAACTTGGAAAACGACTTTTACTTTTCTAATGAACCGTAAAAAGAGACAGTTTTGCTTCTAGGTATCATAAAATTTTTGTTTTTGAGGTAGACAGAACTCCCCGATGTAGTTTTTTCAAATTACTTGTAATATTGGGCTTTTTGACTCTCTGGACAACATTTACGCGTGACTTTTTTTCAGGCAGGGCTAACTTCATAGTATAACAAAGCAAAATGTCAGCTAAATACTTTTAAAAACGGTTCTTTCCTTTTAGTTTTTTCGTTTTGAAAGGACTTTTCATGTTCTAAACTGCAATAAAAAGTTTCACATGAACAAGTTAACATGTTTACGACTTTTTTAACGTCCAAATTGCCGTATGAACCACGTTTGAACATTTTATTGAAGTTTGCAAGTTGTGGGAACCTAAAAAAAAGCACTTTCCGGCTATTCATTTACAAGAAAAGCAAAGTTTTTCAGTCTTATTTCGTAGTAACGCTTGGTCAAACTGTTCGGACATTCAAGTGACTGTTCTATTCATCGCTGGATAACCATAGGGATCAATGATGTACTGGCAAATAATCATGGCCATATCTTTCTGCTCCACCGCAAACAGATTGTTAGTAGTTGACTTAGACATTGTGCAGAACCGGTTCGGCCAGAAGTCCCCCGGCTGCCCTGAATAACAGAATGAAGTTCATTAAACCTTATGCTTTTTGATGGGAGGGGGCTGTAGGTTGCTTAGAAATTTATATCGGGTAACATCGGCTTTTCGCGTGATTTTTGTCAGATAGAATAATTGTTTTAAAATATCACTGCAAAACTAATATTCTGATTTGAATGTCAAGAAAAGTTTCAAAATTGTTCAAGTTTAAACTTTTTTAACGTACGCGTAAGGTAATCCAGCGTAAGGTGGAAACACAAATGTTGATATTTTTTTCGAAGACGCAGAAAAAGCATTTTTTGTATTGTTTTTTTATGCCTAGAGCAATGCATGATTTATTCAATTTTGAAAAACCAATCTAACATTCTTAAAATGCAATGAAAATTGGTAGAGTGAACAAATTTATTTTTCATTGCTAACTTCGTAACATCAAGCATTTAGCCATGAAAGTGAAAGTTGTTGCCCCGGTAAATATAGCTTCGAACAAACCTTTTCAACAATTTTACTGATCTCAGCAAATTAAAACAAAGAGACATTGGCATGTTCTGAGAAGGTGCAAACTAATACTAGAGTACTTAATTAGTGACATGATGCATTGAACCCCCCCCCCCCCCACAAATTTCAAAACTTCTAGTTTCATTGCGAGTTTCTCTACGAGTATTTATGCGGCTTAACGCGCGTGATACCAAGTTCCATTGCATCATGATTCTTTTGAAACAATTTCTTTTTAAATTTGATTTCGAAGGCAGGGGGTTACGGGCCGTTGCAAACAATAAAAAACATAACGAAAACTGTTGGAAAATTGAAACAGAAGGGCGAAAGATCTAAGAAACATCCATGAAGATCCATCCACTGATTATACTATTTTCCGACACTAAACACATTTTCATTTCGAGAAAAAAGTCACACGTCTCTAACCGGGATACCACCAGGGACCGGGTGGCAATGGCAAAATGGTTGTGAGGCTGACCCAGCAGCTCCCAGGAATGTCAGGTTGTCCGTCGTAGGCGAAATTAGTCCAGAAGTAGCAGTTGGGAGGCTGATAGCAGTCCACAAATTGGTTCAAATAGTTCCACATTGTGTACAGTTCCTCCGGATTGCTTGGCTCGAACATTGAGGAATAATACATCCTAAAACCGGAAAGTGCGAGGGGGCATAAGAGCTAGCTAGTACCTGGTTGTCTAGGAGAGGGTGGATGGGGGGTTAGTGGGGGCGGGGATGCGATTAAGTGGGGGCTGGGTTTGATGGAGGATAAGTGGAAGAGGGACGGGGGAGGGGTTAAGTTGGCCAGTGGGAGGTGTAAGTTGGTAAAAATGTTTGAGCTCATATTGGCTCACGTATATTTCTGTTCACTTTTTCTTGATACTTGAAAAAGCTGGCTTGGGAGTTAATCGAATAACTTATTCAAGAATTATTGTGATCCGTGCCCGTAGCTTCAGAGTGCGGCAAAACTATCCAGTCCGACCGAGGCAACACTATCAATGCCGATTAAATTTTTTGACCTATTGTAGGTCGAGTAAAAAACTGAAACCATTTTCTACAAGAAGCAAAAAACGCTGACTTTACTTTCAGCCGGGCAAAAAAAACGTTTCTAACCTTCTCAAAACTCTTAAAAAGACCTTTTTCGCCATCTTAGAGTTGCCTCTCTGAAGAAACATTTCAACATGGTCGTAATCCAGTGAGGTTTTGCTCGGTGAAGAAATTCACTATGAAAGATGGGTTTTTCTTCAAATTTTACTAAAGAAAAGCAATCATATAGTCTGAAAAGCATGTAGGAGTATCGAGAAAACTAGAAAATGGGGGAAACTGGAAAATAATTCATTTCAAAGCTTCATTTTTGTGCGCCAAAGATGAGTTCTTGAGATCAAATACAAACCAAAAAAAAATTTGACCCAATTTTTTTTTGACACGCTCTGTTGTTGCTTTTTAGATTTGTCTGTGGGAGCCGAATTCTAGTCTACTAAAGACATCGATTCGCCAGCTCTATCATTCCATTCCTTTTGGATCTTCAGTCATGATCGAGAGGTCCACTCTGTAGTCGCCGAATATATCGTGTCTCGCTGCCATTGTGCCGGGGAACTCGAGTAACCAGTGCTCAAGGGTTTCATTATCTTCACCGCACCTCTCGATCGTTGGATCCTTCAAATGCTTATACGCTGCCCGCTGCATTCTATGGCCTGCACTCAGCCTTGCTAGCATAACGGCGTCTTTTCGGTTGGTCACAATGGCTTCGTCGCGTTTTGCTAAGTACTTGGCGTCGACCGCTCTAGTCCTATCATGTTTTGGTATGATGTCGGTGATAGATCTTTTTATGGTCTTGAAATTAATTGGTCTGTGGTCGCCTTACAGGGTTGTAGCATCGTTTGCTAGTCTTTCTGCGATCTAGATTCCAGGGATCTCCATGTGGCCACGATTTGACGGTTTATGAAGTCTGGTTGTCGTCTTATACGGATGATGTCTTCGATGTCAATCCCGAGGGCGGTTGTCAAGTATTGCGAGTCGGTGCAGATCATGACCTTGTCATTTTCAGCGGTAACATGAACTTCTACTGTTGAAGAGATTTCGTTGAAATCCGGTACTCCACTTGAAGGCACTCCTCTCGGAACGGTCTGTTGTTCCTCGGAATGAAGAAAGTAAATGAAAAAAAAACAATGAAAAAATTTGCAAAACATTGGGAAAAAAATAAATTTTTTAAAAATTTAATTGATTCCTTCGAAACTCACATATCGAAAACGGTTGACATGTCAGAAAAAGTTTTTTACATAAGAAGCGAGCCATTTTTTACAAACAAAATTACCGACATTTTTGAATTGAAAATCATACTGACTATCAACGTATTCATCATTAACCTCGAAAAAGCACGTTCAGCTCAGAACATTTGTCCGCCACTCAGTAGCGAGAACCATCACATTCTAACACGATCAGAAACTGAATCAGAATCACGATGTGGCTTTTCTGACTTCGTTGGTCGAACTTGAGTGTTAGATTGTGATTTTTTGTGCACTGTGTTGGCTACACTTTTGAAAAAGTAAAATCATCCTGAATCCTCAAGCTACGGTAAACATTACAGAAACGTTCGGGCTCAACAAACCCAAAATCTTGTTTTTATGTGTGCAATTTGATTTTGTTTAGTTTTCTGATGAAATTGAACTACTGGAAGTTCTTTTATTTTGCCTTATTTTACATCGCTGACCCCAAATTTGTGTACAAAATTCATCAAAAAGTCTTGAGCACTGTTGGAAATTTTTGCCCAAAAACCTAGTAAATTGTGATTTTTGAATTATATTTATGTAACAGTGTATTACCAAAAAGTAACAAAAAAAACAACAAATCCAATAAAAATGCGAAAGCTCCAAGGTGCTAAACCACTGCTTACAAACAGGGTATCCTCATGTTGATAATTGAGAGCAATAACAAGTAAAGACGTTTCTCCATAACTTAAAACATTTGATGATAACATTTTGCAGAACGGGCTTAAAGTTTTTTTAATTATAGGACATTATTTTTGAACTTAGTAAACTTAAGGCCAATCGCTAATAAAATAATTTAAAAAAATTTTGCTGACAAATGTTACGAGCTGCCTAATTTTTGATTCGAAGCATACGCATTTATTTTATAAAGAGTCCCAAAGTCGTCGCCATTATAAAGGCTTTCCAGGACTACGGACAGTGTGTCAGGATTCATCACTGGAAAGCGAAGAAATACCATTATTTTTCCTGCGGTTTCCAATTCGTAGGTAGGAACGTGCGTTGAGAAGTAATCATCTGGCCAAGTGTCATTTCTTCCACCCAGAAACTTTTTACCATTACAAAACGCAGACAATCGAGTAGTTCAGGTGCTTTTTGGTCAAAGGGTCTACATGCTGGGTTGCATCTTACGACTCTAGCTCGTACCAAGATGTTTTCATCTTCCAAGCCGTTTTTGATGTTCCTTGTTTTCTATGCTGCACTTGAAGAGGCTGTCGGTAGTGGTTCAATTAAAACCAACGTTTTGAAATACATACGGAAACGGATCAGTTGGTCGGACTAGCGTCACTCTTTAATACTTGTTTTGATTTTTTAGCGTGGAATAAAGGCCTAACCAATTATCAAGCCTACATCGGCGTTGTTAAAAGTAATTGAACGCATCGGAGCTAGACTAAGACACTTCTTTGTAAAGCGGTAAGATGAAATGTATCAGTTCTGACCTCGGGTTTGTTTTCTGAAGGAAGGCAGTGAATTGGAATTTATTTTCGATTTCGTCGAATTAGCAAACACGTTAATCTGAAACTGCTGCTTCAATTTAACGAATTAGTTACGTTGATACTATTGTCTGTCAGATATAGATCTTTGCCTGATAGATTGAAAACAAAATGACATATCCTTTAATGGAGACTTAAGAATAGCTTGATCTGAAATCAAATAGCGTCAGGCAATCATTGATAGGATTTCGAACACAGTCCCAAGCATGAGAATGGACAGTAAGCTTTTCCAGGAGACCATTTTCTGGTGACCAAAGTGTTGGTGCGTGTGCAGTCTGGTTTAGAGCATTAATTAGCTCGAGAACACTAAGGAATAAGTGGCTTCCAAAAACAAAGTTTTTTTCTGTTGAAAAATATGCTCTGTTTCGAGGTTTTCTCCTGAAGAACAGAGCACTTCCACAACCCAAGTTTGTCTTTAAAAGAACAAAAGTCGGAAACTCAAAATTTGTCTCGTAAACTTCTGTAGTTGTAGCAAAAACGGTATCTCTGCTGTAGACTTAATTATTTCCTCCACCTAAGATTTACCAGACATGTTTCCTGTTTATTCTTGCACTTCTGCTCTGTTATTTAACCAAGCATTGAAATCTAGTAAATTTGGCTTTCACCAGTTACGTTGGATTTTTCAGATTGTTGATATCCATGTGCGGCTATAGCATTCTGTGGCCGGCCATAATTTGGTCATCTTATAAATTTTTTTTGCTGTAGGCAAGGTCTGCCATGGAAGAACTACTTTTTCCCAAACTTAGTATGACTAGACAAATAATTTTTACTTCGTCGGTTAAAGAAGCTTAGTTGATTGTGCTGTGCAATTGGCCGAATCATTTGTGCCACTGGAGGAGATTACCAACCTAGCATGACGTTTCCTTTTAGGCAGAGAACCCTTTTTGGCGACTGAGAGCATTTTAACTAAGAGGCTCAGGGTACCTGAATTGTCCAGAATCCGATTGATAAACAATTTGTGTTGGTTGCATTGAAGTACCAAAAAATTAGCCTCCTTATGACGCTGCTCATTATCTGATGACGCTTGAAGAGATGTCTTTAGTTGTAGCTCCAAAAGTTTTGTTCAAATTAAACTTATAGTTTTCCCAGCGGCACCTTGCATAGGAAACCATTTAGCCATTTTTGACTCAATTCCTCAAACTGCCAGCTAAAATGGATGATTGTTTTTTGTATTTGAACCAATATCAAACTTATGTGCTGTTAAAATGCGAATGACAAAAATGGATTTGCTGGTATTTGTGAAATTTGGTGAAATTTTGATATCCTGAGTGTTGGCCGTGAATAACTTCTAAGCTATCAAAAACTTGAGTAGCATCAAGATATCTAGAAACAGTGAATTACTGAGCCAGCGATATGCATTAGCTTCAAACAGAAGTAACATAGTTTTTGTAACAAACAGATCCCTTGTGATCAAAATTCAGGTTCCGGTTTGATCAACCCCCACCTTTTTATTTAAGTCTAAGTATATCATTAATCACTTTTCATAATTGGTGTCGGCTCCTCTTACAAAGCTACACGTATGGCAGAGGCCTCGTCCTAGAAACGAGTTTCACAATCGAACTTCGCAGTCTCCGGTCTTAATCTAAATCACAACTCCGTTAACCTCGCAAAAGATAAAACGTTCAACATCAGCTGAAGCAAATTCTCAGATCACGTTAGGATATAACTAGTTTGCACGATGCAATGAACAAACCATTAAGTGGGCATTTCATCATCTGATTCTTCGAGAAATTTTTCTAAGCTATAGAAACCTTATAACAGCTAAAGAATTTTGTCAACGCAAAGAGTAAGATGGACGCGGGTTTTCCATTTTTGATTGAAAAGAGAGATGTATAACGATTCCAAAAAGAAACAAGATAGCCAGTTACTGTACAATGTGAGGGGCTACAT